TAACAATACATGACAATTAAAAAAAATTAAAGCTGGCTTCAGTGTACTAAAGTGACCTGTTGAGTATCAACTCAAATTACAAAACATGTCAATGTTCAAAAATAAATGACATTTTATATTTTAAGAATTAAATCTAATTTCAGATAAGTACTTACCTCTGAAATGCTGATAGCCTGTCATTAATAAAATTCTCATGTGGTATGCAAGCATAACATGCATTTTCCAATTTTGCTCTAAATTTTTTTTGAATTAGTTATTCAAGACAATATAGTTTTCACATAACACATGTACAATAATCATTAACTTGCTTTCATTCTACCTATCTTTGTTCTTTGTCATTCCTTTGAGTTAGCTTTTACAGCACGGGCTCAGTCCCTGAGACCGACATCATAACCATTTTGTGCTTGTTAAAGTTTTCATGTTATAACTTTTAAATTAGTAAGCAAATGCTAACAAAATCTGGTACATTATCAGCAAACATTACAATGCTTTCACATGCAAAATATCTAACAAGCAAAGTAATTTTCATTTTAAGATTAAAAATACTTTTATGCATCAGAAAAATTTCAAAATTCACATGCAAAATCTTTATAATGTCCAGATAGTTATCAAATGTTTCTTAAGAAAAAAACTTTATATTTATACTTTATCTGTTATTTTCAGTAATTAATCTCTGTACAAGTTTGGTAAATTTGACCGATCTCGCAACCACCGTAAAAAATTAGGAAATAAATACAAATTATGCCTCTTTCATTCTAGAATGAACACAAATTATAACACGAAAACATAAATGTTTAAACTAAATAGCTTAAATCTCTTAACATTTATATATATTTTTATTATATTGACCTTTCAGCGGTGTCTGGCTAACAATAAAGAAGATACAATGACGTGGCACAAGTGTACTCATGTTACCTTATACAATAACATAAAACTGACCTTTGGTTTGTACAAAGTAACTTATCTTGGCTGCATTTTAGTCGACTAGTATTTTGTAAAATACAGTCACATTTATTTCAATTATTATATATGATATTAATGCTATTTAGAAATAAGTTCTTAAACATTTTTTTCCTAAATAAATAAAGTAAATAAAGAAGTAAAGCAAACAATTATCTCTTCTAGTTCCATCCTTTGTACTCGGTTGATGCTTGACGCAGATTGCTAACCCTTTAAAAATTTTGCACGTGGAGGATATGAAAGTTTTTTTTAGGTATTTTATATATACATTTGAATAACTAAAAAATCATAAATTACTATATCAATACCACAGAATATCACTATAATTTATCAAGTAACTAAGATGTATTTTAGTCTAAAAAGTATGAAATTTCGAGCACACTAAAGACACACCGTACTTCTTTGAAATATTGGTTCAAAAGAAATAAATAGCATCCAAGCCTGTTAAAATGGCTGAGAAAGCCATTAGGGGGACATTCTGAGCTTCTGATTAGTTATTCACATCATGTATAGAAGTAAGTGTATATAAGGGAGCATTTCCAAAAATGGAAAGAGATGGTTGGGGTGCCACAGTGTTTGATTTATTACATGAGCAATATCTCAATGGTACCTCAATGACAGCGTACATGAATAGCCTGGTGATAGAAATAGAGAAAAATAATTTGGCTTGTCAACTGAATTCTAAAAGCAATTGAATAGACCTAAATGCACTTTTGACAAAAAGAAGCGAACTATATAGTGTTTAAGATATAACTATGACCTCCATAGTGTAAGGAATTTCTGTAAATATGTTTAAATTGTTTTGAATATATATATATATATATATACTATTTTGCAAACAAGTGGAGTGTATGTTGTTTGTATTATTTTTTGAATTTACTACCTACAAGTCACAGACATCTACTGTAGAAGAATCCTTAGCGCAACACACTCACATACTAGCTTTACCTCTTTCAGCACAGGCTCAGTCTCTTGGACTGACCTTGTAACAATTTTGGGCTTGTTATACTTTTCATGGTATAACTTTTAAATCAGTAAGTGTATGTTCACAAAATTTGGCAGGTTATCAGTAAACATCACAAGGCTTTCTTATGCAAAATAATGTTTTTCTCATACCTATTTTTTTTTTTTGCATGTTGCCTATCCAACATGTAAAGCAATTTTGATTTTAAGATTAAAAACAGTTTTATGCATCAGAAAATTTTCAAATTTCATGTGCAAAATCTTTATAACATCCAGAAATATTTCTTAAGAAAAAAATTGTATTTTATGTTATTTTTACTATCAAATCTCTGTACAAGTTCAGTAGATTGGACCAATCTCGTAACCATCATAAATTTTTCCATTCTAGAATGACTACAAATTACAACATGAAAACACAAATATTTAGTCTAAATAGCTTAAATGTCATAACATTATACATTTATATACATACATATTTATTACTTTTATTATAATGACCTTTTAGTTCTGCCTGGCTAATATTACAGAAGTTACAATGATGCAGCACACGTGCACTAGTTACTTTATCCAAGAATACAAAACTGTCCTTTACAAAGTGACCTGTCTTGGCTGTGTTTTAGTGGACTAGTATTTTGTAAAATACAGTCACATTTTGGTTATAATACATTATTTATGCATATACTTTATTGCTATTTACAAATAAGTACTTAAACTTATTTTTCTTAAACATAGAACAGTAAATAAATAAGTATAGCAAACAATTATATTGTCTAGTTAAGAACTTTGTACTCATTTTATACATACATTTTGAAATAACCAAAAATCATAAATTACTATATCAATACCATAGAATTCCACTCTAACTTATCAAACTT